TTTCAATAAAAGCGTATTTTTCTTTGGTGTGTCTTGCAATGTAGTCATAAGAGGGTTGTGGTCTGCGAAGGTTGCTGTTAAAATTTCTACTTCTACTAGGTCGTTTATAATAGTTGCTGAAATCCAACACATATCTATTCTTGACCATGACTTATGTCTTGCTGAATAATAGGTGTAATCCTCCTTTTTTGGATTTCTGGTTTTCCAAGAGTCAATCAGGTTATGTTCTTCTGCCAATTGTAGAAATGCATTTGGAAGTTCATTGCCTTGTTTCTGTTTTCCAGTTATTGTTTTTCTGTCTAAGACCTTATCAAAACCAGCATTATAATCTCCAATCAGGCAAATGTCATCGTAATTTTGTTTTAAAATAAGTTCTTGCAACAATTTATAAACATTTTCTTGATGTTGATCGGGGACATATATATTTATAATTAAGGTTATTTTACCTTGTCCTTGTATTTGGACTATCAAAATTCTACCATCTTCAGAGCTATAAACTAATTCTTGTTGCACTACACCTCTCTTTTTTTCTCTTTATCCGAAGAGATTGTTTTTTCAAAGCTTTTTATTCTCCAAATATTTTTGGTCTGGATATTTTATATGGGTCTCTTGTAGATATATCACGTCTAATTGCATCTTTTTCTGTTGTTGAACAATCTGTTTTCTTTTTTGGGGTGCATTCAGTCCATTGACATTTATTGAGACGATCTATTTTTCTTCTATTCATCTTTAGTTAGTATTTTGTTGTCATCTTTACTCTTCAGTTAAAGTCTTGTAACCATCTGGGGTGTTGTGATCTTTCCAGTTTTTCTAATTTTTGCAGTTTTTTCAGTTCATCCAGTTGCTCCTTGTATTTCTCACTGATCCTCCTCTGTAGTTTGTTTTTTCTTCCTCAGCTTCCAAATCTTCACCATTTGTTTTTAAAAATTCTTCCGATTTGAAAATTGAGTTGATTTTATATCTTTTCTCCTTGTAAGTAAAGAAAATGCCTTCTAGGAGTAGCCATCTATATGCAATTCCATTCTTTCTTTCTTTTTTTTTAAATAAATATTTATTTATTTCAGTTTTCTTATGCATTACAACATGCATTCTTTCTAAGAGTGCTTGTAAGCTCCATATATTCTCTTCTCTTCTCACGCTCCATGGAATTTCTTTTGACATTTTAATTTCTGTTTCTTCTATTTGTAAAGGTGTTTCACTTGTTGCTTTCAGAATTTCATCTCTTATTGATCTTTTGTGGAATCTCACATGTACTTCTCTCTGGAGTTTATTTTTCCTTGCATTCGCAGAATTCATTCTATAAGCAACATCAATTTCATTATATAGTTCATCTGTGTTTTCTGCCTCCATATACTCAGCCAGTATTTGTGCCATTTCAAATTTCTCATCTTGTTTTTTCTGGAATATTTTGGAATCTTAGAATGTATGATGCTTTATCAAGCTCTAGTTTAATGAGGGCTTCTTCCATAGAATTTTTCTTAGATTCTACTGTTTTTACTTTAAGCTGCACCTTTTCAGATTTGTCTTCCATTTGATTAACAGTTTTGGCCAAATAAGAAATTTATTGTCTATTTTCTTTTAGCTGTTTTTGTACTTCTGACATCTGGTGTGTTGTTTGTTGTGTAAGTGAATCTAGTTGAACTTGCATGGGGTTGACAGCTGCTGTTATGGCTTCTCGTATTAAAATTTGTAATTCCTTTGCTGAGATCTGTGTCAGACTGGCAGATACTGATTTAGGTTGGCCAGGAGAATGGTCAGTAGGGGGGTTAATTTTTTTATCCATCATGTTGTTAACAGTGTCGTTTACTATATTTTGAATTACTCTAAATTGAACATCTTTTAAAATTATATAATAATCACAATAGTCAAACCAAAGAATCTCTTAATATCGACAGGCACCCTCCCAGTCAGTATCTTAAGTTTAACCTCCCCTTTTTTTGTTTCTTACTCAACAGTTTCTCAACAGTTTCCATTACTCTCAGGAACACATTATGCTTTGGTAAGAACAACATGCAAAGACATAACAATTCCAAATTAAAACATAACCTCTGCAGAAGTGATGTTTGGAAAGTGAAAGTGAGTTCCAGTCATTTGTAAACTCCTCCTTTCTTCTTTCTTCCTTGTCTTTAATTTGTAATCCAAATAAAAAGGTATAAAGAATTGTAATCCTGATTAGGGTATCTTCATGTAGATCCAAATGTAGCCAAGTTATAATTCCAAAAGGGATTTAATAAAAGGAAGTCTAGTCCAAATAATCCAATATCCAAAATTATAATCCACAAGGTCATAGAGCATCAAATTATACTTGAAGGGTACTACGAGTCTGTCAAGAAGTTATTAATTCCAGACATCAACCATTTCTTTTAGCCTTGAAAGTATTTTATGTATTTTAGGATATATTTCTTTTCCAAGCCCCTTCACCTCTCTCTTTTTACATCCTCTTTTAAAGAGCTAGATCAGAACAGAGAGTCTCTTCTGAGTTCAGTGCTTTAATAGTACTCACGGTGTTAAGAGTTTCTTTTGAAGTTTTGTATGAGGTCGACTGTATTCCTTCGTCCCGGTCGTTCATGGCTCCACAGCTATGGAGTCCATACGTGCTCTCGCTCAGGTTCAGTTTTCTGGGCGATCTTGGATTCAATCCGCTTGCCACTGCTTGCAGAGGGTCCAAGATCAAGCTCCCTGCTTGGGCTCCTCTTCGGAGCCCAGGGGAAATCGAGAGCCCTCGAACTCCTTCTAAACCTGGCGATCTGGCACAGCTTCTCAGGATCTCTTCTGGAGCTGGTCCGCTGCCGCGGCACCGAAAACCAGAAGTTAGAGCACCAAACAGATCTTGATGAATCAGAGATATCTTTGCATAGTTACATTTTAAAATAAGAATATCTTTAAAAACTGCACTGGAAAAGCCTGATTCTCCTACTGTCTTCATCAATGCAGAGTTTGCTGAAGCACCTTACATCTAAGAGACAGAGAAAGAGAGAGAGAAATGCATACCTGCCTGGCAACTCTTTAAGAGCTCTCTCATAGATCAGGTTCAGGACATGCTTGGGAGAATTCTGCTTGAATTCAATGTAGCGGATCCAGCACTTGACAGAGAAGGGATTCCGCAAGATTTCTTCCTCATACTGCAGGTCTTCTTCCTCCTGTGTTGGGTAGATAATGGAAATTCCAGAGAGAGAGAGGCCTAGGTCATCAACTCTCAGGCTACTGAACGAGTAAGGTTTCATAACTATGTGCAGTATATTGGAATTGTTCAGGGGGGCATTTTTGAATAAGTGAATAAGGTTGTAGTTAACGTCTGTGGGATCTAAGACAGTTTTCACTGTGTATACTATGCAGGGTTTATAGCACTATTCTTTAACGGCGTAATCCATCTTTTATATAATGATTAACTGTGTTGTTCTCCAACCTGGTAATCCTGCTTTATTGTATTTTTAATGTGCTGTTCTCTAACCTTGTTGGTTATGTGTATTATACTGTTCTTATTGCAGAGTTTTTAGATGCAATCTTGAGTTTCAGAAAACAAGATTACAAAGTGTGAGCCGGGAAGTAAAAACTCACTTTAATCACAAATTCACTGGGTGACCCTCAGCCAAGCAACACTATTTCATGCTTAATCCCCCAACCCTGCTCTGCTTAAACCTGCAAAAGGAGAATAATGCTGGCCCACTTCATAGGGCAGTTGTTACAACCAAACCAAAATTTAAAAGAGACACAGGATGACCACTGCTCCAGGTCACTTTATTCTTTCTTTCTGGTAACATCTAATGAAAACCGTGTAGGCCACGTTATCATCACTCTCAGAGCCTCCCTGCCCACATCACTGAGTGGCAGGAATGACACTCACCATACTGTTTTGAACTAGACTGTCAAAAGACAAGGAGCACAGTAGCTTCATGTCTCTTATAATAACATTGTCTGGCATGAAGATAATGTGTGAGCATACCCAGAGTAACACCAGTTGTCTACCAAACTGTTTAACCAGCTGCAAAGACAGGTGTATGCAGGGAGAGGTGACAGTGGTAATACCATTTGCTGGCAGTCCACTTCGAAAATGGAAAGAAGCCAGGACATGTTGGTTAAATTAGCCGCTAAGCAAGGCATTAACACAATCAACAAGAAAACACTTAAAATCATAACTGTGTTTTCTTTTAACATTTAAAGGAGATGTGAATTTTAGAGATGAGAAGGGGACAGAAAATAACATTGGTGTTGGAGCATGAAAAGAGGTGAGTTAGGTGGGTCGAAAGATATGGGGGGATGGGCAAGCTCTGGAGTCCACTAAGATAGCATGTTGTTGATACTGTGATTATTTCCTGAATGTTTTGTCAAAATCCTGTATACTGCAACAAAGATTCCATTTTTGATGAACATTTTATACAGTAAAAAATTCTTGTGCAAAACACAGCCTCTGGCAAATGTCCTTTTTCTAAGTATCTGGCAACTTTAAACGTAGATCAGAAAGCCGAAAGACCTCTGAAGCCACAACACTCGGAGAAACATTGCTTATTTGCTAGAATGAGAGGCGTAAGGGACTGCCGAGTCACACTGCCTGAACTGGCTGCCCTGCCTTCTAATGCCACATGTGTAGGGTCATACAGGGTTCCGGCAAAAGCACTCTACACATGCTTAAAGACTTTAACTTTTCCACATCTGTCCAAAAAAGCCCCCGCGGCCCAACAAAGCTTAACTTCGCGAGGTCCTCGCCGAAAGTGTCGCCCCCACGCGCCCTACTCACAAAGAAAAGCTCTCGCTTCCCCAACACCGTTTCCAGCTCCGGCATTATCGCCCCTTCCAGACACAGGCGCTTGCCAATGACGTTTCTCCGATCGACCGTTCCGTTTCCCCTTACCGCTTACGTAATCAACAAAGGTCCTATTGGTCATCAGAAATGGGAGGAGTGAAGCGAGTGTTTCCCGCCCCCTTCCCTTGACGCCATGCTGGTTCCGGGGCACCATCTTTGAATGGGGGAGGAGATCATGGGGGGCGGGCACAGGGGGGCGGGATGTCGCTCTGGTCCGTCGATGCGCTGCAATGGGGGTGAAGCTAGAAGTGTTCCGGGTCCGTCTTAATTTCATTCCAGGGCCCTCGAGGGTTGTGAGCAGCTAGAGATTTGCAGACAGAAAGAGGAGACCTATTCCTGTCCACAACCTTCCTCCTCCGACATCATCCCCGGGCACGGCATTATTATCCCGTTGACGAATCAACCACTCATGCAGTTCGTGGTGGTCCAGTGTACCCCGGGCGGGGGGTATTGAGCGGATTCTCCCGGCCTGGTCGTGGCAGAATGAATTTATTTAACACATTCCTATCCGGGTTTTTTTCCTTTTTTTTAATGGCTCTGAAGGCAGCTGTAAGGCTTCCCAGAGGCAGCTACTGAGCAGTCCCGGACCTGCTTAGATAGATTCGGCGCGGTGGCTGCAACGCATGCCTCTCAACCTTGTCCCGAGATATGGAGACTCCCTTCTCAAGCAATTGCTGTCCTTACCATGGAGGCAGACAGCCGAAGGACAAGCCGCTCCAGAGTCTAGGTTCCCTGTCATGCTTCTCCTTGAGCACTTTGGATTATAGGGTTTTGTCTTGGAAGAACAGGCCATTAGATTGTTTGAGTTGGCTATTGTTACCTCGTTTATCTAATAAATACAGTTTTATCTATGACTGATTGCATACATACAGAAATGCTATAAAACATAAATGGATTGGGTGTGTGTTCAGAAATGCCACCCCTCATCAGTCCAGCATCCCAGTAATTCTTAGGCTGTAATCTGCTGGCCATCTCCCTGCAGGAAAGTCCCACTGGAGTCAGTGAGACATGGTTCCCGTAGGATAGCACAACCTGGGATGTTATCAGTGGCTGTTCTGCTTCACTTCTCCCTGGTGCAAGTCTGTGATCTGAGACTCTAGTTATTTCTGACATGGATGGGAAGAGGAATCTGTTGGCTGTGGCTCTTCCTGTCCTTCATAGGTTATCCTCTCACTAAAAGCAGCAGCAGCAGCTGGGGGAGGGGGGTCGGGGTCTGACCAGTCAGAATTTAATGTAATTCTGTATTGTATCCTTGAGTGGGCTTAACCAATGTATTAATATTTCAGTATGTTTTCCTTTTTTATCTTCCAGATGGTGCTGTATCTGTCTTTTCCTGTTGCCATGTTCTGGGTTTCAAATCAAGCAGAGTACTTTGAAGAATATGTAATAAAGCGAAAGGTCAGTCTCCCCCCCCCCAGTAATTGGGGTGTGTGTGTATGGAATGACAGTTTGGACTAACTTTTTTCCCCTTGTGTAGTTTTATTTTTGTTGCGATGTTGGTTTCAGCTCTGACATTGGATTGAAAAACCCATGGCGGTTTTTCACTGCATTGTTCCTGGTTCCCTCAATTATGCTGCAGCTCACACTGCCCACAACTCATCTTTGATGTGGTTGGCTCTGCTCCACCATTTGGTAAAAGTCTGTTGTGGTAGAATAAGCAGAGTTATGTACTCAGCTAATAGTGAATAGAAGCCAGAACTCCTGGGTTCTCTCCCAGGGAAAAGTTACAGCTCCCCCTGTTCTTTCCACATTTTGCGTCTTATGATGCTTTTCCTGGTTAGGGCTTCATTGGCAACTTGTTGAAATTAGGAGTGTCATGCTAGAGGCTAAGAAAAAACTTTCTGCTTGGGGAGTTGTGGTTGGTGTACTATTTCTTTACTGCATTAAGGATAGCAAGAAAATGTCTTAAGTGACATTGGCTGGTTTACTAGGGATTTTTAAAGAATTATTGTAGCATGCATGTGGCATGGTTTCCTTGGATGTGTCTGTTAGATTTATTTTCCTTACCGTGCTGGTATCTGGCAAGTCAGCTGCTGTCTGCTTATATGATACAGTATAATCTAGATGTGGACCAATCTGTTTGGGTAAACAGCATGACTTTGTGACATTCTGCTAATCCTTACAATTGTATGATGCTTTGTAATCTTTTTCCTGCAGAGAGAAATCTTTCCACCTGAAAATGAGTTCCAGGTAATATGCTTTAGTTATAAACATTGTTAGTGCCATCCTAAGCATGGACTTAGAAGTGTGTAGCTCTGCCTACATTGACATGTTGTCTGTCTAAGAGTCTTGCTGAGAATGTGTCCTACCAACACATGTCTTTTTTTGCAAATAATGAAGCTGACACAGCATTTGAATTGCCTTTTTTGTTTGATATTCAGAGCCACATTACAAATGATACATAGCTGCATATAACTTTGTCTAAAGTTTTTTAAAGTGAGAAAAGAAACCAGTCCCAAAATCTGAAACATGGGGCTGGAGTCTTGAGCAGATAATAGGGAGGAGGTGCTTAACCCTTTTCTCTTGATCCATTAATGTGCACAAAAATCAGCACTTCTTGGTTTTCTTCCTGAAAGGGGGAGGGGGGACCCAACCCTGCAGAGGAACTATTTTGAGCATTAAAATGATCCGGGGGAAAGCATTAAACACTTTTGTTCTACTTGCCTGTTTTCAGCATTCTCTGGCTTCCCATGGCTGCGTTTTCTTTTTAAAGCCCTGGTGGAACAGAATGAGACACAACTGCATATTATATGTACTGTGGCTTTCATTGGTGTCCTCAGATGACACAAGGAGTTGACTTTCCCTGCTGGGGAGGGGTGCATCTTTCAACGTGGAGGAGAAAGGCAGAAGCTTTACCCTTAGGGAGTTCAAAACATTGTTTGGATAAGGACTGGCATAGGTTGCATGTGGCTAAATTCTCTAATACAAACTCTCAAGGAGAAAGGGTAAGACTGTTGATGGAATGGAGGTTCCATCCGTAGGTTTTGGTGGGACACACAGACTCCTGTAGTGCATGCAGGTCATACTATGCTTTCAGTGCCTCAGGTTTACAGAATGTAGCATGATGGGTTTCATAAAATAAGTTGGGCTTCCTAAAGTGTTGCTAGCAGCTGTGTGTGGGGAGGGATGTGCTTTTTTCTGACCTTTCCCCTCTTTTTGTGTGTGTGTGTGTTTATAGTCTCATGGTACAATGCGCCAAAGCATATCCTCTCCCAGCACATGAATGCATATAAAATAATATATGGCTAGTATTGAGAGAGGTGGACATCAAGGGAGCAATCCTTATATTTTTGGTAACCCTTTTCTCCCTTGACTGTTTTTTTCTACAGAGCATGCTAATATTCATTCTTATGGTTTCCCTTATTGGTTGTGATTGCTATTCCCTGGGTTGAGGGCAAAAGAATAAGTGCTGCCAGGCACATCTGTCCTGTGTATTTCACTGTCTATGGAAGGATGAGTACAATTACATCTGTTCTTGTTTTAGACCTTAGCTACTAAAGAGAATGACATGGCAGTCCAAAGCAGAGGCACACCCTCTATATTGCAGTCAGTGAATGTTTGTTTAGGATTCTGCTGTGAGCAACCTTGCGCTAGATTAGAGATGCATTTGTGACATAGAGAACTGACTTGCTTTTGTCTTCTCTAGAGAAAAGAGCTGGAAGCCTTCAAAGAGCGAATGAGGAAGAAGCGGGAGGAGCGGCTGCTGCTACAGGAGGCTGAGGAGTAAGAGTATGGCATCCCCTTCTTCCCGCTGTGCTCTTGTGGGGCAGAGGATACACCCCCCAAAAAAAGTTGCCACATCCTTTTCCTTCTGTTTCAGCCTTACTGTTTTCGAAGGTTCCTCCAAAAGACTTTGTGGACAATGAGGTGAAAGTAATTGCAGTGCAGTTCCGCTTTGCCTGCTAGGGCCCTGCAGCCTTTCTCAGGCCAGGCAAGGCTAAGCCAGGAATGGCTGTAGGCTTTTTCTTCTTAAGGCTGCTCTTCTGCCTTTTGCAATGGTTTAAAGCCCTTGATTCAGCTGAAGACAACTGGCTCATTTGAATCATCACGTCTAATAAAGCCAATATGGTATGCAGCCAGCATGGTGTTCTGGCTATTGTGTCAGATTTACACAGGAGAGACCTGCATTCAACTGGGTGACCTTGGGCCAGTCATTCTCTCTCAGCCTAACCTACCTTTCGGGGTTGTGAGGATAAAATCGGGGAACTGGAAAACTATGTATTTATTTTTATTTATTTGACCTATATATACCACCCTCAGGGTATACCACCCCGAGCTCCTTGGAGGGAGGAAGAGAAGAATATAAGTGTGATACACAAAGATGCTGTATGGGAAGACTGGTTCTTTACATAGCATTCAGTAGAAGCATCTGATGTCTCTAGACTCACCTGTGTTAGGTTGGTCTTCAGGCTGTTTTGCAAAGTACCAAAGCCCATGTCTATAAGTCCTGTTTAGATACTTTCTTCTCTTACTTAGTTTATTTATTAATTTATTTATTTAACTTTCAATTTCTAGATCGCTCAACCCCAAAGGCTCTGAGCGGTTTACATGATTAATTTACTTCCTATCTAGGGCCACAGTATTCAGGGGGGTGACTGCCTACCAGCATCCCAGACAGCAAGACTTCTTGTTCTTGCTTTTTTCCCCCCTCTTCTCGGCTTCCTTCCACTTTTTTTCTCCTGGCGACGGCGTCTCTTAGTGCAGTCCTTATTGCAGCGACTCCTTTAGGCGAGATCTTTGTGGTGCGCGGCTTGTGTGACGACTGCAGCTCCGGCACACGTCTTGTTGGCTCCGCTGGGCTGCGTCGTCACGATGGAATGGGAAGGAGTTGCCTATGGAGCGCCCTTGGCTGCTGTTGTGTGATTGTGAAACCACTTTCCCCCACAATTTCCTGGAGCAGTATTAACATTCTTTAAAATATTGCAGGTTGTTAAAAGAAAAATAATGCTGATGAAAGGATAAGTGTACATGTGCTAATATAAAAATATTTTCAATGAGGCTGAAGGTGGGCTCCTGCTTATAATTTAGAAAGGAGGGGCAGGACCGAACAGGATTGTCTGGCATGTTTGTCTTTTGTGAAAACTGTGAAGCCAAAAAGAAGCAGAATTCACAATGCGGGTGAAGAACTTCCTGTGATTTCTCCTTTTACGTTTTCCTTCTGTTTACCCTTTATGCTTTCTGAGAATTCTGAATTTTTTTCAGAACTGCGACTCTAGCTGTCTTCCTGCCCGGTTCCCCAGTGCTTGTTCTGCTTTTATATGACTCAAACACATTGAAAGCTGGAGTCAGTGCTTTTCGATCGGCACTTTCAAAAGTATGTATATGAAGTTCTGCTGTCTTAAGATGCAGTCTGGTTCCATAATTAGCCACCCATGGTACATATAGTACTAAAAAAGTTTCCTTTATTGTAGTTGTATGCTGAAGCAGAGCTTGCTAAAGCTGAGGGAACATCACTAAGGGAAAGAAACATGGGATTGTGGGCAGTGTTCCCTCTAAGCTGAGTTAGGGTGAGCTAGCTCACAGTTTTTTAGCCTCCAGCTCACACATTTTTGTCTTCGCTCATGAAGGAGGGCTCCAGAGCAAACTAATTTATGCAGCAGACAAATCACTCGCTCACAACTTTAATGCTAGTCGCTCACAAAGTAGAGTTTTTGCTCACAAGACTCCACAGCTTAGAGGGAACATTGATTTGTGGGGTGTATGTGGGATATTTAGGTACTTTTAGGTACAGAGCAGCATGTGTCCCACTGGGAAGCAAAGTAAATAAGGTATATGTAGTTGGCCTTGTGAGAAGGGTGATGTCAGGTCAGGCTCTCTAAAGAGAAGAAAAGCTGGTTCTCAAAGGTGTCTGCAGATTAGGTCCCTGGGTCTGAAGGGGTGGAAATATTAGGCTAACATGAGGCATACTATATCTTGATGAACCATAACATTTGAAGAGGAGGCCTTGCAGATCTCTACGAGGAGGTGCTAGGATACTGGGTACTGGCAGATTTGGGAGCTTGGTCTTTTATTTTTCCTGTAGCAACTTCCAGCTGCATGCTATGGATGCGGTTGATGAAAGTGAAATAGTCATCCATGGGTAAGATGGAGACAACAGGGAAATCTGGAGCAGCAGCTTCTGGTAAGGCCAAGTCCATATCTTCCTGTGGGTCACTCTTCCATTTTGAGGGTTCCTGGCACCCAGCAAACATAATCTCCAGTGACTGCTGCCTACGGGTCCACATCAGATCAAAACTATTTGAAAGAGTTTTACCAGTTGTGCTAAAAAACTTATTGAGAAGTTTCTGGTGATTCGAGGTTTGGGAGGATTGGAAGAGAATAACATGATAGAATCCTAACTTCATCTATACTTTAGTACTTCTTTTAAAGGTTTGTCACCTTACCAGTGTTACTAAGATACAAGATTAGAATCCACTGTGCACATTTTTTCATTTGTTGCTGTGATGGAACTGGCCCGCTTTGACTTGCAGACTGTGCTCTGCCCACCCCTTCTTGGTGCTGCTAACTCCTGGAGGGGGTTACTTCTTCCTTCCACTAGGGTAACTCACTGCCACCACCTGCTGGTGGGGGGGGGTTCCTGCTAGGACAGGGCTCCTAGGTCACCTTCTCAACCTGAGGCTCCACTACTATCTCCTCCATTACCCAGAGCCTGGTTACTACACAGACCAATTACAACTTTGGGGCTCCCCTAGAGAAACAGCCACGTGCACACAGATTGCTTTCCTCCTCTTGCATTAGCATGTCCAAGATGGTGGGGGATCTAGGTGGTTCAGAGATTGAGAACCAACCTCCAAAGTCAGAAAAGATTTATTGAAAATATTTAGAAGCATGCTTAAGTACAGCACTAGATCAGCAAATGGATTTCAAAGGAAAATTGGTCATAAACGCAATCCCCTTTTTCTGTTCTAGACATACACTAACTGATGTTAAAATAGGGCAGGCACTAATGATCTTAAAAAGTTACAAGGTTCCTATCTGTATCCCATTACCTTGGAGACTTCATGATCAGGAAAAGATGGCTGCCTGCTTGAAGACCAGAGCTCAAAGTCCCCAACGCAGCATTCCAAGGAAGTGTCATGGGTCAGCCTGAGCTCAGCATGAAGTCCTCAGGAGATGAGGACTCCTCAGGAGAAGGGATTCACACATGGCTGGCTCTGAGTCAACAGAAGCCACCAAACAAGCTGATGAGCTGCAGGCTGACCAAGACTCACCACCAGCAGCTGATCCAGAGCCACCACCCAGTTCTGATACAGCAGGTGAGACTCAAGTGATTAAGACCAGGCCACCAGGCTCCCCTCCACCCTTAGAGTGCCAGAGACAGATGCTTAGAAGGGAGCTGCAAACAAGGAGGCAGAGTGCACGTCTCCTGGCCCATTGCCAACTGCTTGCTGATGACAGCCTAGAGTAGTTGCAGCAGTACTCCCAAGCAGCTGGCTGCTAACAAGGGCTTGTTAGGAAGTACCTATAAAACCCAGAGCTGGGAGCCTGCCTGTTGTGAAAGCAACAAGTCATTCTGCTGGACTCTGTGACCATAACTCCTGACCCTGCTTTCTTTGTGTGACCTTGGACTAGCTTGGGACTTTGACTTTGTGACTCTCTGGCTTGTGGATGACCCTTGGACCTCCTGACTATGCTCTCTGCTTCACCCCTTTTGGTAAGGACCCTCTGGCTTGTGGACGTCTGGTATTGAACTCTGGACTTTGTGTGAGCACCTGAAAGTGTCTGGCTCGCCTTCCTGTTATACAACAGGAAGAGGGAGCAACTTCCCCTTGCAAGGAAGTTTCTTAACCCCCTGTCTCCACTCACTTTATATCACTCTCTCCACACCCTTGACCTGGTCTGCCCAGGTCGCAGGTGCATCCTGGGAGCCCTCCTGGAATGCATTCTGGGAAATCTCCAGGAATCACCTGGAGACTTCCTAGCACCAAATTCCTTAGCTGGTTTTCCTAGCAGGGCCATATGTAATCTAGCAGGCAATTGAACTGGATCCCGGCCACTTCCAGAGATGGGGGAAAACCCAGACTTTTAAAACTCAGTGTGCAATGACACTTAGTTCTGATCTGACCTGTATCATTCTCCATTTTTACCCTTACCTTATGATAATGTGTAGCAGAACATATAAAATGGAGGAGGGGGGGGGTTACTTCCTCTTTTCCCAGTCTTGTGGGCAAGGAGGTTTCAGTGTGTCTCCAGCTAGACTTGTATTTCACATGAAGCTGCTTTTTACTGAATCAGACTCTTAGTCCATTGAAGTCAGTATTGTCTACTCAGACTGGCAATGGCTCTCCAGGGTCTCAGGCTGGGGTCTCTCACATCACCTACTGCCTGGTCCTAATGCTTGGGGTTGAACCTGGGACATTCTGAATGCCAAGCAGATGCTCTGCCAGTGAGCCACAACCTCTCCCCTCTCCTTTAAGACCCCAAGCCTTAGAGCCATTTGTATTTCAATGCCTCATGGCATTTGAAAGAAGAAAGGTGAATGATATGGGATTATGCATTGAAGAATTGGATCATTTACACTCATATGCTTGAAAGAGTGACTCACAGTTTGTAAATACTGATGGTGCAGGGATTGGGTGCTTGCACAAGGCAAGAAAATGATGAATTTTACTACAGCAAAATAGTGCTGTGATCTGGAGCTGTGCTGTGTTTCTTGCTATAGTTACTGGCCAGTACCTGTGAAAAGTGGTGAAAGCCTTTGGAATGGCAGCCTCTGCCAGATAACAGACAAGCTTCTTCCCCAGTGCCTCTGTATGGAATTCTGGCCATCTGGTTTGCAGGGGAGTTGAGTATATTAAAAAGGCCTGGTAGACATCTGGACTGAGCATCAGGGGCAGAAAACTTGGGCCAAAAATGCAAAAAAGCCAATTGGAAAGAAAATGGGGAGGAGCTGTGGCCCAGTGGGAAAGCATCTGCTTTGCATGCCGAAGGTACAGGTTGAATCCATGGGCATCTCCAATTAAAAGGACCAGGCAAATGAATGTAAATTTAAAATTGGTACCAGAAATATACTTGTTAAACATTACTCCAGATAACTTTGATCGAGAAGATAGATACTTATTAACATATGTATTAACTTTGTCAAGAATTACGGTAGCCCGATGTTGGAAAACAGATACACTACCCTCTAGAAAGAAACTGCTGGAAACAGCTGAAATG